CAAATCTTTCTGCCGACGGATTTGGATCTATCCAGTCTCAAACAAATGATTGGTCGTGGTGGCCAAAAGAAAAAGAATAGACAACAGTAGTAGCCAAGTAGGAGGACTAGGACTGCGTATTTCAATAATAACAAGTATGATATTGTATAATTAACTGGTATGGTTTATAACGGGTATTTGTAATTTGCATAATCAGCTGGAGTTGCTGATTCGAAATAAAGTAATAGTACTCATACGGTATATCTTCGAACGTCAGGAGATTCATTGTGTCCAAGTAGTCCAATAATAGGCAATTTTAGTTAATCAATTTGTCCATCAAAACAAAAACTTTTACAACCCACCGACACTTATTGTACCAGCAAACTTTGAACATGAGTCTTGAGGATGGGCATCAAAGATTTAAACATACTCCCCGCAATGTGACATTGAGCGATGGCAGCACTGTGAACATTTCCACAGACGAAGGCGCTAATGTTTTCTTGAGAGATGAGAATTCCGGGTGTGACGTGTTCATTTCGTCAACTTTGAAGAAGATCAAGAAGATTTGCAACGAGAAACGCCTCAACTGCAATGAAAAGGCTATGCTTAAGGAGGGCTGGGCTTTTCTATCCGCATTCGCCATACATGCTGATCGCGATCTCTTCCGGGCGAAGATTCCGAGAACTGAGATTCAGTTTTGGTTGGAACATATCATTGACGATCTCAAGAAATAAACGACTAATCGAACATGGATTCAAAGCGGAACCTTGAAAATGTTCGAGCAATACTTTCTTTTCAACCATGCTTCGAGACCATGCAGTGCCTGTGGCTTTTGCTTTTGAAAGCGAATTATTTTCTGTCTTGGCTGATTTTGTCAAGGCTTGCAAGGGAAATGTTCGTGGGTTACCCACAGAAATGATAGCCGGGTGGGTTCCCATGATTGTTGATGGAGCATTCGTGACATCACAAACTCAATTTGATAATACATGGTCCACCGACAGAACATTCAAGAAGCTGGAAGCAAGTGGTATTCTCTCTGAATGTCTGCGCTGCATGGCAGTGCCGCAAGAACAGGCATCCGTCGACGCTCGAGACGAAATGGTGGATAGAATCGTGACAGCCATTGTGTCTTGTCCTTCACTGCTACGAAAAAAGTTCAAGGAAGGCGAGCCTTGTGGCGACGTTGTCTTGGCGATTCTCGATGGCAAAGATGGCCATACAAACACACAAGCCTTTGTCACCAAGCAGCTACAGGGTATTGTCCAGTCCTTACGATCACTTGATGCCGCTGGTACAAAGAC